ACTCGAGTTGCAACCCACTCGAGTTGCAACCAGAGTCACAGAACGGATTCAGTTCGTAACTTGAGGTACCACTGTATTCTGTAATTACCTTGAACCATTCTGTATTTATTTGAATCATTGTGTATTTAACTCAAATTTTGCTACATCAGGCTCTGTTCTTAACTATGGGTCATCCTTAAACTGGGTGTTCTTAACTTGGGGACTACCTGTACTCTCACTTTTGTGTTTTACATTGCAAGTATATGGAGATAGTAGTTGAAGTTTCATTTGTGCAGTCTTCCTTGCAGAAGATTCACTAGAGACCCATGCAAACTGTTAAAAAGGAAGTGTTCAGTTTACACCAGTATATCAGAAAATAACTATTTAATTTTTTTTAAGGCCATTGCCCTGTGCTATTGTCAGTATATCCCAAGATTATTTCCATACTATTTTTGTTAAAAACGTGCCTCAGATATACTTCAGTTTTCACTAACGCATATACTCTTACAAGGAAGCAGAGTTTATTTTAGCAACTCATGCTAAAACAGTGGAAAGGAAGGTAATAGAAATAGGCAATTCCTAAGATTTCAGGCTGTGCTTGGGACTTTTTAATCTGTAAATAATTCAAGAAACCAGAGGGAAATGGTGACATTGTAATTCTCAGATTGGATAGCAGCCATCTCCAATGACCATTTAAAAATTTCTAATTTGTTTCCTGCATGAAAATACTTCAATCTAGGAATAAGCATGCATGGTCTTTTGCAGATAATTGTATGCCTGTATACACTGTTGCCTGTACAGATATTGAGGCACATAATTATACGCAGCTTTTTATCTTACGTGTATACTGTGATAAGATGAACGTTAGAAGGAATATATATGCATGTGTGACCACTGAGTTTGCTGTTTCATGCACTGGTTCATGATACTTGGGGGAGGCAGCTGGTCCTGGCCCCGTATCCTAAAATGTTTTGTTAAATCAATATTTTTCTTTTAAGAGAGTAAAACCTCTAAGGAAAAGTACCAACATGAGTTGTTTCAGTGTCTTGTGTTCCTTCACATATTTCAAGAAGAAATAAGCCCAAGTATATGTAACTGAACTGAAAGCATATTATTTTCCTGTAATTTTACTGCCTTCTCCTCCTCCCTAGGGTGTTCATGTCAGATTTTAGATTACAAACTCCTCAAGGAAGTGATTTGTCTTTTTGTTATAACTCTGTAAAGAAACACATGCTAAATAAATCCAGCAACTTAAAATGGCCATTTTTGTTAAGAGCACAACTAAACTTTTTGTAACCTCTTGTGTTTGTGCCACAACAATTTTCTGTGTTCAAACCATTCCTTATATTTGGTGTTTTCTTTTCATAAAGCATTTCCTTGTATGAATGGAGTTAGATATATGATGCAGTTTTCACTCATAACTTTTAGTTTTTATTGTTTTTCTTCCAGTTAATTATAGATCTCACTCAAGACAGAGATTACCTGCAGTCCCAGCAGCCACTGAGTCCTCTGAAAACATCAAGTCCAGCTTCTTCCCCAAATCTTGCCAGCCGCCTCTCCAATGAGGACAAACAGCATTTGTCTGTGGAGCTTGCAGATGCAAAGGCCAAACTCAGGAGGATCAGGCAGGAGCTGTGAGTACTGCCATGTCTTGGTTAATGCAGAACTGCAAATGAAACATTTATCTTCAGTGCTTTGATCTATACTAGTAGTCTTTCATTTAGAAATGTTTCAGGATAGGACACCATAAAAAACGAAACAATGTGAGGTTGGCTCATTTCTCTCGCCCTCCTACTCATGTACTCTATACAGGCAAGCTCCCATACACTATCCATTCTTAAAGTTTGTGTGTAAAGAAATAGCAGAAAGTACACATTTGGACATAAGTTATTGAGCAGATGTAAATACAGGTGGTCCTCACTTAACAACCATTCATTCAGCAACTGTTCAAACTTGTGACTGCAATGAACAAGTGGTCCTTATGACTGGTTCTCAGAGTTCCAGCTGTCGCAGTGTCCCCACGGTCACCTGATTGCCATTTGCAACCTTCTTTGCCAGCTTCTGACAAGCAGAGTCAATGGGGAAGCTGGCAGGAGGTCGCAAATGGTAACCACATGACATTCTCACTTAATGACCTGTGGTGATTTGCTTAACGACTCCAGCACTGCTGGAATTGGTGTTGCTAAGCAATTTATGACTGCGTCGCTTAGCAACAGCAATTCCAGTCCCAACTGCCATTGTAAACTCAGGACTACCTGTATGACACGCAAGGTTTACAGGGAAGCCGTTTTCTGTATTTGTGTGTCTCATGGTTAGAAGTCTGTATTTTATTTCAAAAGACTGCTGAAACTCTCCTTTCCATGTAATGTATCATTTTCTCTGTGTTACAATGCCTTTAGGTGCATTTCTCTGCCTTTCTAATAGTTGTGGCCTCTTTTTCATTGGTCTGTGGTGCTTGCTGATTTTGAGGATTTAATAACAGGAAAACTTGAACCATTTCATGTTCCTCTTGCTGAACTTCAGTGATTTCCAAGTTTGGCAGAGGAGTTACTAACTAACTTGTATGAAATCCTCAGGGAAGAAAAATCAGAGCAACTTGTTGACACCAGACATGAAGTAGATCAGCTAGTCCTGGAACTACAGAAAATAAAGCAGGAGGTAATGATATCTATTAAATTATAAAGGACAGCTGTTACGATACATTGATCTTAAAGTGATAACTTATTCTGTTTTAGGATATATATGTATACACACACACACACACACATATGTAACAGGGGAACCTTAGAACCTTAGAAAATATTTAATGTAATAATGCTCTATACCAAAACTCAAATCCCTAAAGATACACTTGTGTGCACAATTTTAGATTATTTTAAGGCAGCTAGACAGATTCATGAAATGTTTCTCAATTATGATGAATGTTTGGTACCTGCAAATTCATAGCTAGGATAGATAACACACATTACCAGTATCAGAGCAGCAGTATTTGAGGCCTATTGCCATCATGCTCTGCCTGTAGGCTTCCCAGTGGCATCTGTTTGATGACTGTATGGACTAGATAAGAGGGCAACTTTTTGGCAGCTAGAGGCCCTATTTTAATGTTTTTAAAAATATATATTTTTGGCCTCTAAGAGCCATAGGGGACATGGCCAGCAATGCAACAACAGCACTATAGTGGATGCAGCTAGCATTTTGTATCTGCTTTGGCTAGGTTGGAGAGTGTGTGTGAAGATCTAAGGCTCTTATTTTTTTCACATGGAGGATCATAAATAGGATATTTATAATATCTCCAGTGCTGCTTGTTATTTTTTAGGACACACAGAAACAAACATAGATTTATAACTGTTATTGTTGTCTTTCTGGACTAAAATCTTTACTCATTCATATAGATTCATCCATATATACCCATCCAATTAAAAGTCCAGGTGGCCAGGCTGAGTTTGACTTCCAAAATAATGAAGGCTGGAAATGTACCATGTCATACCTCATTCTAGGTGCTGGCTCCAAAATACTACAATTCCAATCCACTTTGATAGCTTCTATCAATGCTTGGCCAGTCTTAGATTATTACTGTTCTCATACCTCCTCATATTTTTCCATTTGAATGTCACAACCTTATCCAGTTCATGTGGATTTCTTATTTTGAGAACCACTTCTTGTTTTGAGAACCATGTCTTATTTTCAGAACTATCCCTTGTTGAGTCTTAGAAATTTGTATTCTGGAATTTTCCCACATGCTGCAAGCTGAAATCTTTCAGAAAAAAACTTTCTACTTCTGTGGCTAGCTTTGAATGCATTTTATGTACTCCATCTTTCATATATATCCCTTTATCCCTTCATACAACTGAAAATAAATATACTCAATATATAGAGGTAATATGTAACAATATGGTCACAATTTTGGCCAAATAGGTGTACCCCACAGAAAATTAGTATATCTGCTACCAAATTTCTGTGAGTGTCCTGGATGCTAAGTAAGTGCTGGGGATCTCCCTGAAAGCTATGGGTTACCCATTCTTGGTCTGAATGGACCTCTGAGCTGATTCAGCAGTGATCTAATTGCATTATTTAAAGAATAAAGATTTACTGCTGTGCTGGTTGCTAAGAGTTATGGATATAGTAATAACCCATTGGTTTGATGATCTCTGTCATAACTTTAACTTTGTTTTGTGGGAATGAATAGGCATACAATACAATAACTTGTGCATACTGAAGATAGTATTATTTCTTAGCCTTGCTGTCCTTATTATGTTTCTTTATCATTAATAAGTCATTTTAAAAGTTTGCTGTACTGGTTTTACTTTATTCAGAATATTAACCTCATGGCAGATGCTCGCTCTGCTCGGGCCTACAGAGATGAGTTGGATTCTTTGAGGGAGAAAGCAAACAGAGTGGAGAGACTTGAGATGGAGCTGGTCCGGTGTAAAGAGAAACTTCATGATGTGGATTTCTATAAAGCACGTATGGAGGCAAGTTGGGGACTTAGTAAAAATTGGAATTTTGGCATTTATTGCTAATTTTATATCTGATATATTCTGTAATTGTTTAGATGAGCAATTACTACTTAATGGCATCATACTGTGATAACATGTTAGTGCAAGCACAATTCTTATAAGAACTAGCAGCCTTGGACAGCTTGATAGCCGTTGTTCCATTTAAAATGTGGTTATTTCAGTTGTTGAGTGATTTTATTTAAGGTTACTTTAAACAAACAGGGTAATTGTTGATTACTATTGACTTTCACTTGGGAATCCCAAAAGTAGTGTGTCAAGTGCTGGCTATATTTTGGATTTCAGAAAAACAACAAAAAGACCAAGTCTGGGCTACGTATGAAAGTTCATAATGCACTGTTTGCTGAAGTTAATCAGTTCAGGGTCAGGTCATTGCTTGGCTGAGATACTGTATAGGAACCACATATGTATGCCTCCTTGAATCCCATGATACGTATTCTAAATGCAGTTCAGTGAATGTAGAACCTTGATTATCATTCATAATAATCTAGATATCCATCCTGTGTTTTTTAATATAATACAGAGCAGTCCTTTTAAAGCAAACACATCTTTCTATTCATAACTATTGCTTTATTATTATACGTTCATTGACTTTTGTTTATTTGGCCATTTCTAAACTAACTTTCTAGAACATGGAGTTCTTCAAGACAACTATAATTCACTGATAGTATGAACTATTCTTTCTCTGACTGAAGACTCCTTGTAATACCACTTGTGAGCTGATCATCCTACACACTTAATTGTATCCTATACTGGATAGAGTTTCTGGAAAACCTGGATAGAACATGTCATTCCAGGCCCCTCTGCCAGCCTACAAATATAAGCACACCTCTAGCTTTCTCCTCACTGTAGTACAAGAAGCTGGTTCAAGAGTGTGAATACAGTTGATACTTCAGCCCAGGTTGCTTGTTCTTAAAACTGCATTATAATACCACTCTTCCCCTCTAGCAAAAGACATGGCTATAGGTAACAGCTCACTGTTACATTTGGAATCTGTGCTTGCCTTAAGTCCAGATGGTTAAGGATTCTGGTAATGAACAGCATGCTCATGCATCCTGCCTGACTGGGCTGCATGGTGTCCAGTTGCTCTTGGAAATACTCAAATTCAGATTCTGGTGTGTCACTTTTCTAGGAAATCAACATCCATAAGACAACTCCAAATCCTGGTTTCAGATTCTCATTTCTGAAGAAGTGTCAAAACAGAAGTTTAGATCTGGGTGTAATACTATATATTTCTGTTTGTTAAGTTTCTGGTAGTTTACCTGTGCCCAACAGGGGATGAACCAACCCCAAGTGATCAGGGAGAGTTTGCCGAAATATTGCTCTTTACCAGTAAGTTAGATTGATCAACAGTTGTGGCTTTGTGTTTTAAGTGAACACTGCCATTTGTTTTCTGAAAAAACAACTATATCAGTCTTTTACATTTCCAAGGAGCTGTCATCTTGCTTCTAGATAAAAAATGTTGATGCTGAATACCAGTATAAAATTAATTTCTTAAGGAGCAAACATTTATCACTAAAGTGGTACCATTTAATAAAGTTTCATTTGTAGTTGCAAGTAGGAATAGAATTTTGCTTTCATTTAATGTTCTTTTCTGTAGAATGGCTAAAGTGTCTGCAGTCTTCAGGCTACCTGTGGTGTAATCCCATTTTATTGTGTACTTTTCTCAGGCGTGCAAGAAGATGAGCTGCAGAAACAGAGGCTAGCTACAGTATTTCTTTCATCCCTGATACTATTAGAATTCATCAACTCATGCTGTTCAGTAAAAGTACTGGCTGTGTCTTTGCTCTCAAATTGATTAACAGATTAAAACATTTCATTTGGGGGGCGGAGCTTGCTGGGAAGAAGTAATAAATGGTCCAGCACTGCATCCTGTCATCTCATGTACAACTGATAATTGCAACTGATAATTGACAACAGAACTCTGAGATAATTTTTGAGAACAGTTGCTAGTATTTCACCAGACACAATTGGATTTCATCCTTTTATCTTAATTATTCTCATAGGAATGTAGGAGGGGGGCTTTTTCCATTCTTGTAGAAAAATACATATAAAAATTACTTTTACACTCTAGCTCTAGCTTCCAATTCATTCATTCATTCATTCAATTTGTATACTGCCCATCTCCCCCAGCGGGTGACTCTGGGCAGCTCACAATGAAAGTAAAACCCACAAACAGTTAAAAAAATAAATACCCCATTAATTAAAATTAATTAATTAATTAAAAAGTCAAACTATAAAAACAAGTCCTATACATAAAAAACTAAAAACATTCAAAATGATGGGGGAGTATAATAATACTTTTGCTGATCTAACTAAATTCTTTGCTTTGAACTCAATATTTAAAAAATTCTATAGATATAACATTACTTTTCTAGATCATCCATTGCCTACAGAAAAATATTTTATAGTATGCTATTGATACTCATATTAAACCAATATTATTAAAATTGTTTGGCATTTGAAACTAAATGGCTAACTTAGCTAAATCCACTTTGTGAATTTTTTTTAATTGCAGGAGCTTAGAGAAGACAACATCGTATTAATTGAAACAAAAACAATGTTGGAAGAACAGTTGATGATAGCAAGAGCTCGTGGTGATAAATTGCATGAAATTGAAAAAGAAAATTTGCAGTTAAAATCCAAACTTCATGACATAGAACTGGTACATTGTGATATTCTTAATTATTGGCAGAATTTCTTTTCAAGCTAATTATTTTTCAGGGGACTGAACAATGATTTCATACCAAGAAGAAGCTTAACTGTCTTTGAAACAGTGCAGTGATTTTTGAAAATACTGAGAATCAAATTGACACTGGCTTTAAAGTATGAAGTGATACTTGTGTGTAAAGTTTGCGTATTTTGTAGTAATATATTTCATAGAAGAGACTAAATGTTTAATCATTACATTAAGGATTAGAGCCTTATCAGATTGCAATCTTTGTGGCTGAAGAAATTTTTTAAAATGCATGAATTAAGAATAAAGTATTTCCCACATAATCTCGCTCAAGCCCATAATAAAAGGCTTACTCTCAGAATGCTGATGTCAGACAAAATATTTTCCAAAATACATTAAGCTTATGAGGTGTGGGAAGGCAAAATGGGTTTGTAAGAAGCTATGGAGCCTCAGTGTTCTGAGGCAATATGATAGGAATATAGGAGGCAAATGATTAACTTTTGCTTCATACCTTCTTTGTGAGCTATCTAGTTGACCAAAATGGGAAGTAGGATGCTGGCTAAGACAAATTTTATGTACAATCCATCATGGCTTTCTTCCATACTTAAATTAAGAGAAGCATTGTTTGAAAACATAGGAATAGTTGCCCTGATCTACTCAATTTGTCACTCATCACTAATATAAGGAGTTTATGTTCTTTAAGCTACATTTGGATTCTATCATTATGTTTTCTTTTTATTCTTATGTGTATTAGGTTGGTTCTGCTGATATTTACATAGTAGATGCACCTTTCATTAGGGAAAACCAGGCAAGATATGATTTTACAGCCATAATTTCATATGTTTTTTCAGGCTGAGCACTAGATGTTCTTCCACCAAACTGGTGGGAGATGAACATTGATATCTTGGTCAGGATAAACTTCAGCTCCCTACTCTAGCAGGCTAAATAAATCGTAAATGTTGCCTTCACTGCATAGCTTCCCTTTGTAGACATAAATGTCCATAATCCAAGCTAGATTATAAAACTATGTGCCCTGTCCTCCATTAGGACAGGGATACTGACAAGAAGAGAATTGAAGAGCTGCTGGAAGAAAACATGGTGCTAGAAATTGCACAGAAACAAAGTATGAATGAGTCAGTACATCTCGGCAAGGAACTGGAACAACTGTCAAAGAGTACAGATCTCTCAGATAGTAAGTATTACAGACCAAATTGCTAGTCCTAAAGTTATATGTATCTGATTTTTGTATATTAATTCAGAATTAGTAGTGGGGGGGGAAAGGAGTTTCCTATAGTGAACCTAAGTTCATATATTCCAAAAGTAATCAAAAGCAATAAGTATTCCTATCTTATGGGATATTTTTCTTTTCCTTTCTCATTTTTAAGAAAGGACTTGTTTTACTTCATTATTCAGAATGACCTATTTTTACCTCATTATGCAGAATGAGGTACCCTACATTAAGCTGGGCTTCCCTTAAAGTCCATAATAATGGGTTTAATGGTGATTTTTTTTAATTAGTTGTGGTAGAATGGCATTTGAATAAAATAATAAATAGGCATCAATATTAAGGCTGACTAGAGTGTACCTTAACCCCCTATTTTTAAATGGATTTTATTTAAATAAATTAAAATTCTTAATAAATATAAATTTAAAAAGTTTTTATTTAAATTAGTCATTTCTAATCATCAGATTAAGAAATAGCTTTATCAACTTGGAAATGGATCCATGTTTGCAAATGTGTTTATAGTTGGGCATTCTGGATATTGTATTTCAACAGCAAGGAAATCTTTTGTCTTTGAGTTGAATGAATGTGCATCAAGTCGCATCTTGAAACTTGAGAAGGATAACCAGAGCCTGCAAAATATCATCCAGGAACTCAGAGATGCATCTGTAGCCACTGAAGAGAATAGCCTCAAATTTGTAGAACTACAAAATGAGAATCAACAGCTTGGCCAAAAGGTAAATAACATAATTTATATTTATAGTCAGCTTATCAAGTGTATTTGGAAGTTAGGCCTTATCTACCACAAGACGTGGTGCTGGCTACCAGCTTGGCTGGCTTTCAAAAACGGGTTGGATAAATTCATGGAAATCATGGGGATCAATGGCTGTTGGCCTTGATGGCAGTGTGATTGCTCCTGAAGGCCATCTGCTAGGAGATGAATGGGCTTCTTCTTGCTCTTGGTTGGCCACTGTGAGAACAGATTGCTGGACTAGATAGGCCAGGGGTCGTTAGGTATTCTGTCTCTTTTTGTACCTATTAGAGAAACTACTTAGTTCTTATTTGGTCCTCTTAGTTCCTGATCACTGATTGACAGCATGTTTTGAAGGTAGGAACAGATCTTACCATTTCCTGTACTCATCTTAGTTCTGCATCTGCTTTGCACTGAGAGCAAAAACAATTTGCAAATTCTAATTCGTATATTTTTGTGCAGTTCATACAGGGCAATTTTCTACTTAAAAAAAAGAACAGAATAGAATGGTTTTACTGTTAGTGTCAGGATTGGCAACCTTTGGAGTGTCCACTATCTTGGGTCTCTCTGTGATGTAAAGAGGATAGGGCTGCTTCGTGTGTGTGTGTGTGTGTGTGTGTGAAGGATGGCATGTTTTTCTAGTGTTCATTGTCATTTTTCATTTTCCTTAATGATAAGTATATTTTTGAGCCTACTGCAGAGTGGTAGAAAGTCGTACTGCCCACTTTTGGATAGAGAGGGCAGATTCATGCCATATGCCCAGAAGATTTTGCTGTATATTTGGTAATTGTTTATAATATAGTGTAATAAACATAGATAAAAGCAGAAAATGACAGTTGTGCGTGCCTCTTGGTTTACCCCATTTCATCCTTCTTAAGGTGATACCCAGATCTTGTGAGCCCAGCGTGATTCAATGCTGTTGTTTGTCCTCCTGGCTTGAAATAGAATAGAATTTCCAGAACACTGGGATTATGACCGACCAAATGTATTAAGAGGGTGGGCAAAAAAGGAATGTAGAAAGATGAGTAAAAATACCATCTGTTTGAAAGGGTAAGGCCATGTGAAGAACAGCTGTTAAAAGTTATTGGTTAGTGATGAATTTCATTTTGTATCTGTCTTTGTGGTTGACGATATAGACCACATCATCTGACCTGGCTTTTTTAGGAGGAGAATCAGGCAAATTGAAGTGACGAGATAAAGTTATAAGCCTGAGAAATAAAAAAATAAACGTATAACCAAGTTTAGCTGTCTACCCATGTCTTCTTAAAAAGCTCAAATATGAAAGTACTCATTTTCTGATAAAAATATGCAGCTGCTTAGAATCATCATCTGTATTCAAGGAATGGGGGGGGGAGAGCCCAATGTAGCTCTAGTTTTTAAAAAGGAATTAGGGGTGTGAGTGCATCAAATTTTAGGCTTGTTAAAGTTCATGTCAATTGTTGGTAAAATGGTAGAAAGTATTATTAAAGAGAAAATAATCAGATATATAGAACTTGGCTTAAAAGGAACTTTGGCTTTTGCAAAGACTAGATTTGACTCAGTATAGTACCTTTAACTTGTAGACAAGTTGGGGTAATTGGATATATATGGTAACCTGAGACTTTGAAAAGTTTTGACATGATCCCTTACCAAAGGCTTCCAAGCAAACTCAACAGTGGATAAGAGGGCAAATGCCATTGTGGACTGGTAATTAATTAAAGATGAACAAGCAGAGAGTAAGAATAAACAGACAATTTTCAGGGATTAATGTTGGAACTAGAGCTTTGTGTGCATATATATCAGTGAGCTAGATTTAAGAATAAATAGTACTATGGCCAAGTTTGCTAATAATGCCTAATTCTTCAAAATGGTAAAATTAAAAAGGGGGTTCAAACAATGAGAAATATCTCTCTAAACAGGGAGAATGGCAAATATACAGTGGTACCTCGGGTTACGAACTTAATTCGTTCCGTGACTCTGGTCGCAGCCTGAAT